TCCTAGCAATTCTCTTGAATTTCTACACATATCTTCCTAATCCAACATCCAATTCTAATGAGCGTATAGATGTTGGTTAAAGAAAAATTTCAAGTTTTCTTAGTTGATATTGTTGATCAATGTCTAATTTAGATTATTTTCTTTTGAATAATCGAAGAAGGAAGTTATGATCCATAAACTCGTGCAACATCTCCCTATTTCCCCTCAGATTTGATTTATTCGTAAATAACGACCTATCAAATATGCTTTTACGATAATATATTGTGTTAGCATTTTTTTTTATAATCTATTTTACCCATAGTCTTTGATATGATGTTTTCTGTTCCTATGTATTTAATAAAAGAAGAAATTATTTACGTAACTAAACAGCTCCTAAACTTTCGTATTCAAAATTTATTTATGAGTTTTCAAAACGTAATGAAAGGTTTTGTTCTTTTGAACAAACTAAGCAGTGAGCATCTCATCCATGGGACAGTGATAGTTTAAGACAAAAATATGCCAGACAAAAAAAAATTACCACAGAGGAAGTCTCATTCTCATAGATTTATACATTAATCTTTATCAAATTCTTTTAGAAAACCATAAGAAAGATGCACATAGAATATAATATGTTGACCTTTTTCACTAAAATTTTAGACTAAAAAATCTTGCCAAGATAATTATGTAGAACACGGAAGATAGTTGTAATCAACTTTTTCATCACTAATTTTATGCATATTCTAATTTAAATTGCTTTTATTGCGTAAAAAGATGAGTGAAGAAAAATGATTTCACTATTAAGTAAAGAATTTTGTTATTAAAGAATGCTGCCCACGAATTTGATAAGAAGCATTAATTATTCTTTGATACTTTTTGTTTTTATTTGAAATATCCTAAAAATAAAGAATATTTTCAATGTTAGTATTCTATAAAGTGCATTGAATTTATTTCTTTTTTTTAATATTCTTATCAAGTGACCATGGAGCATTTTTAATAAAATATTTAACAATAAACTATGCAAATATTTTATTAGGAAAATTACCAAAAAAGTCATAAATTTATTGTAATTGTGTCAATTCAGTCTTAAACTTTTTTTTGCCAATTGAGTCATAAACATTTTACATTTATGTCGATTCAGTCCATCCGGCCAATTTTGTGATCCGCCCGGTGTTAACATGGATGCCGGCCATCCTATGTAGCCGACCGGTGCTGACGTGGATAATATTTAATAATATTTTAATAACTTTTGAATTTGTTTTTCTTTTTGGATGTAGTCATTCATATGATTGTTTTCATGTTTATTTTTGCTTTCCTAAGTAAAAATAAGAAATTTTTACGTAACCAAACGGCCCATAAACTTGCGTATTCAATATCTATCTTTGACTTTCGAAAATGTGAAAAAAGAGAGGGTTTTTCTTATGAACATACCAAGCATCCCATTCACGAGATCATAGAATGAAATCAATATGAAATTATATTTTTAGACAAAAAAACATGCAAAGTAAACAAAAATTTCCACACAAAGTAATTCTCATTCACATAGATTTAAATATTAATATTTATCATATTCTTTTTTAAATACATAAGAAAGACGCACCTACAATACAATATGTCAATTTTTTTTCTAGCAAAATTTAGACAAAAAAATCTTGCCACTGTAATCTTGAAATATAAAATAGTGAGATACAACTTAGAATTCTATCTCCTTTTAAAACTTTTCCATCATTTCACTTATGTATTTTTTAAATTTTAAATTGTTTTTATTGCTCGAAAATATGAGTGAAGAAAAATGTTCTTATTATTAACTTCGAATTTTGCTATTCAAGAGTGTCGAGAACTTGTTAAGAAGCATTGATCATACTTTGAAATTTTTGTTTTCATTTGAGACATTCTAAAAAGAAAATATATTTTCAATGTTCAGTATTAAGTGTATAGACAATTGTTGCTCTTATTTTAAGAGTGATCAATGCTCGAACATTTGTTAACTCATTTTTTCAAGCATTATAAATGATCGAAATTGCGAAGATCCTTTTTCAAATTGCAGACTTCCACCAAATAATCGAACTTGAAGCTTCCAATTTTTTTTCTTATTATCTCCTTGTTTTTCTTTTCTTTTCTCTTTTTTGATAAGTTTTAACTTTATGGGTCAAGTCCAAGCAGTTTGACAAGATTTTTAAGAGTGATCAATGCTCGAACATTCGTTAACTCATTTTTTCAATCATTAAAAATGATCGAAATTGGGAAGATCCTTTTCAAATTGCAGAATTTCACCAAATAACCAAACTTAAAGCTTCCATTTTTTTTTCTTATCATCTCCTTGGTTTTTCTTTTCTCTTTTTTAATTATTTTTAACTTTATGGGTCAAGTCCAAGAAGCCTTAGGCCATGGCGATTTGTTTAGATGAACCCAAATTAAGCCCATGTATAACTCCTCACTATGAAAGCACAGATAAGAGAAATTCAATTATATATTGATGAAAGTTTAGATATCCTTATTGCATAACAAATTTCTTAATTTTGAAATTTTAATTGATTAATCTAAAATAATAGATAATAATCACTTTCTAATTATAATAAACAAAAAAATTGGCTTTTAAAATAATTTGTCCCGTTAGTTTTTTTTTAAATGATTGATTTTATATAGAGTCATCCATACAATGTTTTCATGTTTTTTTTTTGCTTTCCTAAGAAAAGATAAGAATTTTTTACGTAACCAAATGGCCCCTAAACTTTCATATTCAACATAATAGTATATCTTTTGTTTTTTTTTGGTCAAAAACATAATAACGTATCTAGGCATATCTCACTACAAAAAAAGCCGGGTTTTGCCACGAATTTTGCCACGAAAAATTTCGACAAAATTCGTGGCAAAATGAATTTGCGACGAAATTAGCGACGGAAAAAAATTCGTCGCTAATAGGCCGTCGCAAAATTTTGCCACGGAAAATTCCAATTTTCGTGGCTAATTTGCGACGAATTTTTTTCGTCGCAAAATTCGTCGCTAATTATTCGTGGCAAAATTCGTGGCTAATTTTGCAACGAAAAATAATTCGTCGCTAATTATTCGTGGCAAAATTCATGGCTAATTTGCCACGAATAGATCTCGTGGCAAATATCCGTCGCTAATTTGCCACGAATATTATTCGTGGCCAATATCCGTCGGTAATTTGCCACGAATAGATCTCGTGGCAAATATCCGTCGCTAATTTGCCACGAATATTATTCGTGGCCAATATCCGTCGCTAATTTGCCACGAATATTTTTCGTGGCAAATATCCGTGGCTAATTTGCCACGAATATTATTCGTGACAAGAATCCGTCGGTAATTTGCCACGAATATTTTTCGTGGCAAATATCCGTGGCTAATTTGCCACGAATATTATTCGTGACAAGAATCCGTCGGTAATTTGCCACGAGATCTATTCGTGGCAAAAGTCGTCGCTATTATTTTGATTTATTTTTTGGTCGCGAAATTGCGACGAAATATTTTCATGGCAAAAAGTCGTTGCTAATTATCACGTGGCTAATTTGCCAAAAAAAATTTTTTTTTGCGACGAGTTTATTCGTGGCTAATTTGCCACAAAAAAATTCGTTGCTAAATTCGTGGCTAATTTGCCACTGGAATTATTCGTGGCAAAATTTATGGCTAATTTGCCCGCAAAATTTTTTTTTTTATCAGTATTTTGCCACGAAAAATTTTGACTATTGCGGCCGACATTATTCGAAAACAAATTTGGCGACGAATTTTAATGAATACTTTAGCGACGAATGTTGTTTAGGAACGATTTCGATTTGAAATCTAATTAACATTGATAGAAAATCACAGTCAAGACAAGAACAAACCCCAAAAAGAAAGAAATGAAACAATGTTCTAAATTAGCGAGTTCGCAAACTGTTGTGGCAAACTATTGATCTTGCCAAGAAGTTCTTTCACGTTGTGGCAAACCTGTTGCGGCAAACTATTGATTTCCAAGAATCGAAGTCCCGTCCATCTGCAGCGCAAACATCACAATATCAAACTCCTAACCCCGTTAATTTTTTTCACATCTATTCAACAGCAGAAGCACAAAGATATAAGTACCTCTTGGAAATTTAAACTAGCAAGGATCATCATCATCATCAAAGATCAGCATCGCATCAGCATCATCATCATCATCGGGAATCTCATTATCATCATCATTGTGGCCATCACCTACTGGATTAGTAGGAGGTACAGGAGGACCGTCATCAGCTTCGAGGTTGAGGTGTTGCATGATCAATTGCAAACGTTGGTTCACTCCTTTCATTTCTTCGTCCTTCTGTACAAGTAATTGTTTCATTTCTTCGTCTTTCTGTACAAGTAACTGTTTCATTTCTTCGTCCTTCTGTATCAGTAATTGTTTCAAGCGGTTCAATTCTTGGTCCGTTCGCTCCTCGTGTTGTGCCCTTAAAAAAGCCGCACTGGAGGATGAAGTTGCAGCAGCCGACGTTCTGTACATCCTTGACAAGGATCACATCCCAAATATTTGACCTCTTCTCATTCCACCCGATGCCTCCATCCATAATGCCATACTGTCAACCGATGGCTCGGACGCAGCAGCACTATCACCATCACCATCACCATCACCATCACCATCACCATCACCATCACCATCACCACTAGCAACAGCCGTGCTCATTACAAGTTCATCATATTTGTCCTACATTAACAATATTAATAAAAATAAAAAAAACTTCATATATATAAATACAAAATATAACCTTACATACCTTAATAACTTTTGCTCGATTGCCGGTCCATGTCTTATCTTTTTTCTGAAAGGTACGTTCAAATGTAGCCATAAATGTTGGTTCCGTCCCCAATTCATCTGCCTACAAAATATAAACATAAATGAAATGAGTAATTATTGATTTAACTTTACAACATATTTAAAAGACTTACCATTATTTTTCTATGCTCCCCGATATTAATAGAGCCCCCAGTATATGTGGCAGACCCTTCACTAGAACTAGAAGCTCGATTCTTCTTATTAATTTCACTGATTTGCTTATGCTTTTCGGTGTCCCAAGTTCTTTTGATTTCCGCCCAATTGTCAGCTGTAATAAAATCCGGCTTTTCTTGTCTTCTCTTTGCTCTATTCATCACATTTCACATGTGATCATCGGCTTTCTTCTTAAAAATTCTTTTAACTTCTTTCTCTTCCGCTTCATCCCACCTGAACTTCCGCTGCAAGCAATCAATAGAAAAATAATTGTACGCTCAGTATGCTAAATCGAACTTAGTTTGTGAGGAAATAAAAGGACAAAACTTACCTTGAACTCATTCCACCACAATTCCTTTACTTCTTTTGGAGCAGTGGTCCAACTACTAAACTGCCCCATCCAATAGTTATCGATTATTTTATTAAGTCTCCTCACAACATGCGTAGAATCCGTGAATCTGCAAACGGGTTATAACTTATTTCAACATACGTAGCATCCGTAAAGCATACAGACAATTCAGTTGACATCCATAATAATTCACATATATTTAAAAAAATGAAATACTTACGAATCTCCAAATGGGGCTATCATGAATCGGGTATCTTCTTCATAATTCGAGTGTTGCGTTGAAGAAGAAGGTGGAACCGAAGGCGATGGAACTGAAGTAAATTCAGTTCGCATTTGAGGGTCGGAGGAAGGGCCAATGTGTCCATGTACTAGTTGAGGGTTAGATAAAAGGGCAGGGGCAGGGGAAGCGGAAAGGGATGGGGATGAGGACGAGGAAGAGGAAAGGCCTGGTCTTCTTTGTGAAGCATTATCACGACGCATGTGACCTCCACGTTTATACTAAAAGGTGCAAGGTTAGACAAAAATAAAGAAAATTATGAACATATATTAAGGACACATAATGACGTACGTCGTGAAGCTTACCATTTTGTTATTGAGAGCAAGAGAGATGGCCCCTGAAAAAAAGGAAGCTGTCCGGAAATGTCTACGAGCTAAATTTCTGGTCCAACAACGGTAAAAAAGGAAGAACTCATCTAGTTGGTCAAGGTCATCAAATTTTCAGTTAATTTCTGTAATTCGACTTGTTTTAAAATTTAATTGCATGTTTTGAAAGCCTTAGAACTTAATAAGTTACACTTTCACAACAAATTTTATGATGCAAATAAATCACTAAGTTCTGTTCAAAATGAATATATTAACTTCAACAAGAAAATCAATAAGTTTTTACCTCGAAGGGAGCCACTCCAGAAAACCCAAATGTCACGGAAATAGTTTTACCCCGATGGCCAAAGCTTCAACCTAGGCCAAAAAAGGTTTGGAAATAGTTTTCAAACCTAGATAATGATAAAATGACTCCGAAACGAAAAAAAAAAAAAAAAAAAAAGCGAAAATGTCACGGAAAACACTATTCACCAGAATCATTTTTTGCCAAAAAACCCATCTAAACTACTCCAAAAAGCCAAAAAATGGCTTGCATCACAGCCATAGGTAGTGAATTTCGATCAGCGGGCCGTTTCCACTTGACTGACCAAATTTCAGCTCATTCCGATCACATTTCACCTTATTTCGACCAAATTTCAAATGAATTTCAACTAAATTTCAACCTAAATCCGACCAAATTTCAACCTAAATATGAGAAATTAATTATGTTTCGTTCGTTTCGTAGGCGAACGAAAGAGTTAGGTCTGTTGCCCACGAACGAATCAAATTCGTGGGCGAAAGAAACAGAACCATTCTGTTTCGCCCATGAATTTGATTCTGTTCGTGGGCGAAACAGACCCAATCTGTTTCGCACAGAAGCCAACATCCAACACAGAAGCGCCCACGAAAGCCAACACAGAAGTGCCCACGAAAACCAACACAGAAGCGCCCACGAAAGCCAACACAGAAGCAGAAGCCGAAGCACAGAAGCGCCCACGAAACTGGTTTGTTTCGCACACGAATAGAACCAAATTCGTGGGCGAAACGGATTATCTGTTTCGTCACGAACGGATCAACGGACCCAACACGAATGACGAATTCGACGCGCGAAGCGAAGCGAGAGCGGGGGAGATCGCGGTCCGTCCACGAAGCTAGCCAACACGGGCGGACGCGGACCCAGCACGAGAAGCGAGCACGAAGCTTAGCGAAGCGAGAAGCATAGAAGAATAAGCGGCGAAGCGCGGAAGCACGAAGCTTAGCAACTGACGAAGCGCGAAGCCTGGAAGCTTGAAGCGAAGCGCGAGGCGAGCTTGCGAGCGAGAAGCACGAAGCACAGGGAAGCATAGAAGCGAAAGCCACGGAAGCGAAGCAGGGCCCAAACGTAGACCCAACACATAAATTGAACAGAAGCATAAGCAGACGCAAACGCCTAGAAATAACGGCGAAAAGCAGACCCAACAGAAGCATACCGAACAGAAGCAGACCGAACACTCTCGGACGCCACTGAAGAACCCAACAGAAGCAGACCGCGCGCTGGGTGTCCTCGCTTCCCAGCGTCCGCCGCCGAAGAACGCCAAGAATCGCGCCGAAGAATGCCGAAGAACTGCAACAGAGACAGAGAAAGAGGGAGAAGACAGAGACAGACAAGATACAGAGGTAAGGTGAGAAGATTGGTTCGATCGTGAGAATAGAAAAGAAGAACCCTAATTTGTATCCGCTCAAGAAGACGACGCCGTTTGTTGAATTTTCGCTGAAATTAACCACGGATTTAAAATCGTGGCTAAAATCGTGGCAAATTTGCCAAGGTTTTAGGATTCGTGGCTAAAATCGTGGCAAATTAGCCACGAATCTTATTTCGTGGCTAATTTGCCATGGATTTAGCCACGATTTTCAATCCGTGGCTAATTTGCCACGATTTTAGCCACGAATTGTTATTTTCTCGCGGCAAATTCGAATCGAAATATAAAATTGTCGTGGTAATTTTGGGGTCTTTTTCAAATTCGTGGCTAAAATCCGTGGCAAATTTGCCACGAATTTCCTGAAAAAGCCTACAGAAGATTTTTTTTATAAAAAAAAATTCTTGGCTAAAATCCGTGGCAAATTTCCCACGGATTTTGGCCACGAATTTCCTGAAAAAGCCTACAGAAGATTTTTCATTTTAAAAAAAATCCGTGGCTAAAATCCGTGGCAAATTTGCCACGGATTTTAGCCACGAATTTCCTAAAAAAGAATACAATAGATTTTTTGTTTAATAAAAAAATCCGTGGCAAATTTGCCACGTATTTCAGCCACGAATTTCCTGAAAAAGCCTTCAGATTTTTTTTTAAAACAAATCCGTGGCTAAAATCCGTGGCAAATTTGCCACGGATTTTTGCCACGAATTTCCTAATAAAGAATACAATAGAATTTTTTTTTAAACAAAATCCGTGGCTAAAATCCGTCGCAAATTTGCCACGGATTTTTGCCAGGAATTTCCTAAAAAACCCTACACACGATTTTTGCATTTTAAAAAATATCCGTGGCTAAAATCCGTGGCAAATTTGCCACGGATTTTTGCCACAAATTTCCTAAAAAAGAATACAATAGAATTTTTTTTTAAAAAAAATCCGTTGCCTAAAATCGTCACAAATTTGCCACGGATTTTTGCCGCGAATTTCCTAAAAAACCCTACACACGATTTTTGCATTTTAAAAAATATCCGTGGCTAATATCCGTGGCAAATTTGCCACGGATTTTTGCCACGAATTTCCTAAAAAAGAATACAATAGATTTTTTGTTTAATAAAAAAATCAGTGGCTAAAATCCGTGGCAAATTTGCCACGGATTTTAGCCACGGATTTTCTAAGAAAGATACAATAGAATTTTTTTAATAAAAAAATCCGTGGCAAATTTCCTAAAAAAGAATACAATAGAATTTTTTTTTTAAAAAAAAATCCGTGGCTAAAATCCGTCGCAAATTTGCCACGGATTTTTGCCGTGAATTTCCTAAAAAACCCTACACACGATTTTTGCATTTTAAAACATATCCGCGGCTAAAATCCGTGGCAAATTTGCCACGGATTTTTGCCACGAATTTCCTAAAAAAGAATACAATAGATTTTTCGTTTAATAAAAAAATCCGTGGCTAAAATCCGTGGCAAAATTGCCACGGATTTTAGCCACGGATTTTCTAAGAAAGATACAATAGAATTTTTTTTTAATAAAAAAATCCGTGGCAAATTTGCCACGGATTTTTGTCACGAATTTCCTAAAAAAAGAATACAATAGATTTTTTGTTTAATAAAAAAATCAGTGGCTAAAATCCGTGGCAAATTTGCCACGGAATTTAGCCACGAATTTCCTAAAAAAAGAATACAATAGATTTTTTGTTTAATAAAAAAAATCCGTGGCTAAAATCCGTGGCAAATTTGCCACGGAATTTAGCCACGAATTTCCTAAAAAAAGAATACAATAGATTTTTTGTTTAATAAAAAAAATCCGTGGCTAAAATCCGTGGCAAATTTGCCACGGATTTTTGCCACGAATTTTCTAAAAAAGAATACAATAGAATTTTTTTTTAAAAAAAAATCCGTGGCTAAAATCCGTCTCAAATTTGCCACGGATTTTTGCCACGAATTTCCTAAAAAACCCTACACGCGATTTTTGTTTTAAAAAAATCCGTGGCAAATTTGCCACGGATTTTAGCCACGAATTTTCTAAGAAAGATACAATAGAATTTTTTTAATAAAAAAATCCGTGGCAAATTTGCCACGGATTTTTGCCACGGATTTCCTCAAAAAGCCTACACACGATTTTTTTAAAAAATCCGTGGCTAAAATCCGTGGCAAATTTGCCACGGATTTTTGCCACGAATTTCCTAAAAAAGGCTACGAAGATTTTTCTTTCAAAAAAAATCCGTGGCAAATTTGCCACGGATTTTAGCCATGGATTTCATAAAAATCCACAATCATGCGTACGGCATTTGTTTACGAAATCCATGGTAAATTGCCACGGATTTTTGTCACGAATTTCGTAAAATTAATTTTTGGCTTTTCATGAAAAATTACTTAGCCTTGTGAGTGAGATTTTTTCATGAAATTCGTGGCTAAATTTCGTGGCAAATTTTCCATAGATTTTAGCCACGAATTTCATTTCTACTATCCCATACTCGCGTAATTCAATTTTTTTTTTCCGGACAATAACGTTTCATTAACAATAATAGCAATAATAATATTCAACAACAATTACAATAATAATAATAATAATAATAATAACTACCACCACAACAACAACAACAACAACAATACTAATAATTACGGCAACAACAACAATAATAAATATGACAACAACAATAAACTTTGTCATAATAATAATAATAATAATAATAATAATAATAATAATAATAATTACGACATAATTAGTAAAAAGTTTCAAAAATCTAAATCTTCGTCTTCACCTTCGTCTTCATCTTCATCTTCATCTTAATCTTCTTGTTCAGCATCGTCGTCATCATCGTCATCATCATCGTCGTCATCATCGTCATCGTCATCATCATCGTCATCGTCATCATCATCCTCTGTCTGAAAATCAGATTCTGCAACACCTTCTAAATTTGATTCGCGAATTTCAGTTAGATCTACATCTATCATTGCTCCACATGGATCTCGTAGAGTATAGATCTACATCTATCATTGCTCCACATGGATCTCGTAGAGTAGGAATGTTATATTCCTCAGTTTGAACCGCATTATAAACTTCCTCTTGTTGATATGCTGTATCCTTCCAGTGTTCCTCGATTTTTCTCCGTGCTTTGGTTTTACATACAGCCGACCAATCAGTTTTGTCACGTTTCAAACTAGGATATGATGCATAATATACTTGAATTGCTTGTTGTGCCAACAC